CTTATGTTTTCCACTAAGAGTTTTATAGTTTCTGGTCTTAAATTCGGGTCTTTAATCCATTTTGAGTTTAGCTTTGCGTATGGTGTTAGGAAGTGTTCTAATGTCATTCTTTTACATGTAGCTGTCCAGTTTTCCCAGACCATTTATTGAAGAGGCTGTCTTTGCCCCATTGTATATTCTTACCTCCTTTGTCAAAAATAAGGTACCCATATGTGCATGGGTTTATTTCTGGGCTTTCTATCTTGTTCCATTGGTCTATATTTCTGTTTTTGTGCCAGTACCATACTGTCCTGATGACTAGAGCTGTGCGTATAATCTGAGTCAGGAAGGCTGATTCCTCCAGCTCCATTCCTCTTGCTCAAGACTGCTTTGGCTGTTTGGGGTCTTTTGTGTGTCCATATGAACTGTGGAATTTTTTGTTCCTGATCTGTGAAAAATGTCATTGGTAATTTGATAGGGATCGCATTGAATCTGTGGATTGCATTTGGTAGTATAGTCATTTTCAGAATGACTCAGGTCACAGGGATTCTGGCAGCACCAGGTACTCAGGGGAGTTGGCAGCTAAGGCAGTAGGAAATATAGTCCTCTAGAAGGGTATGGCAACCAGTATTGGCCAATACACTCCAGTATTCTTGCCTGGAGAACCCTCCTGACAGAGAAGCCTGGCAGGCCACGGTCCACAGAGTTGCAAAGAGTTGGACACGACTGAAGCGACCCTGTGCGCATAGATGCAAGACTGTTTTTGCCCATGGCAGCTCTGCCCCAGTGAAAGGTGAGCATGAAGGTGGCGCATCAGGGACCCTGGCAGTGCCAAGTGAGCAGGGACACGGACTGCCTCTGCCGTAGGAGTTAGGGCCCTATCAGAGTCTTTTCTCGAGCCTCTTGTAGCTGGTGATCAGAAGGGCTCTTTGGCCAGTCTTTCTCCAAAGCTCTGCCGGTTCAGGCATTTAGAGGGCTCCCTTGCCTGGGGTCCTTCTTGTAGTTCAGAATGTCAGGCACATACAGGGACACCCCCTGGCTGGGGTCCTACCTGTAGTTCAGTGCATCAGGCATTTGATGGGCCAGCCTCTCTATTGTTCAGCTTCCATCTGTTGTGTGGGGTGAAAGAAGCTATGGTGATGGCTTTACCCCCTATGCATGCATGACTCAGCAGCATTGCCTTGCTTCCATGGCTGCCCAGTTTTCCTCCACAGGCATTTCCTGCCATAGTCTCCTCCCTCACATCCCCTTAATCCAACTCTCCATAGTCAACAGCAGCCCTCACCCTGTGATTGCTCCACAACCCCTAAACTCCAGCTCCCAGCCACTGCGCCTTCCAGGGAACCTGCAACCCTGTCCAGGGCATGTATGGCTGCAGCAAGGACTGCCTGATTCTCATCCCGTTTAGGCTGCCACAGATCAGCTCTTTCACTCTCAGCCTTAAATGTTTCTCCTCTGACTCAGACAATTGCCCTGATGTGGGAATCGGACCCCGGCTTCAGTTCCCCCATCTGCCGAGGGCAGGTCCAGTCCTACTAACCCTCCTGTTTTTCCCCATAGTTCCTTTGTCCTACTGAGTTTTGTGTGGTCCTATATTTTCTTTTCCTCTGGTCAGGTACTCCTGTCTGCTCCCAGCTGGTGTTCTGCATGCACTTCTGTGTCCAAAGGTGTATTCCTGATGTATCCGTGGAGAGAGATGTATTCCACATCCACCCACTCCTCCTCCATCTTATTCTCTCCATGAGAAATTCTTTCTAGTTTGACACTCACACCTTAAACTGCAGAAGTTACTCCCACTGGGCATGATACGAGCTTCATTAAGACAGAGAAGGCATTAAGTTTATACAATAAGATATTTTGAGACAGAGAGAGACCACATTCACATACTTTTTTTTCCATTTATTTTTATTAGTTGAAGGCTAATTACTTTACAATATTGTAGTGGTTTTTGTCATACATGTACATGAATCAGCCATGGATTTACATGTATTCCCCATCCCGATCACCCCTCCCACCTCCCTCTCCACCCGATTCTTCTGGGTCTTCCCAGTGCACCAGGCCCGAGCACTTGTCTCATGCATCCAGCCTGGGCTGGTGATCTGTTTCACCCTAGAAAATATACATGTTTCGATGCTGTTCTCTCAAAACATCCCACCCTCGCCTTCTCCCACAGAGTCCAAAAGTCTGTTCTGTACATCTGTGTCTCTTTTTCTGTTTTGCATATAGGGTTATCATTACCATCTTTCTAAATTCCATATATATGCGTTAGTATACTGTATTGGTCTTTATCTTTCTGGCTTACTTCACTCTGTATAATGGGCTCCAGTTTCATCCATCTCATTAGAACTGATTCAAATGAATTCTTTTTAATGGCTGAGTAATATTCCAAGGTGTATATGTACCACAGCTTCCTTATCCATTTGTCTGCTGATGGGCATCTAGGTTGCTTCCATGTCCTGGCTATTATAAACAGTCCTGCGATGAACATTGGGGTGCATGTGTCTCTTTCAGATCTGGTTTCCTCAGTGTGTATGCCCAGAAGTGGGATTGCTGGGTCATATGGCAGTTCTATTTCCAGTTTTTTAAGAAATCTCCACACTGTTCTCCATAGCGGCTGTACTAGTTTGCATTCCCACCAACAGTGTAAGAGGGTTCCCCTTTCTCCACACCCTCTCCAGCATTTATTGCTTGTAGACTCTTGGATAGCAGCCATCCTGACTGGTGTGTAATGGTACCTCATTGTGGTTTTGATTTGCATTTCTCTGATAATGAGTGATGTTGAGCATCTTTTCATGTGTTTGTTAGCCATCTGTATGTCTTCTTTGGAGAAATGTCTGTTTAGTTCTTTGGCCCATTTTTTGATTCAGTCATTATTTTTCTGGAATTCAGCTGCAGGAGTTGCTTGTATATTTTTGAGATTAATGCTTTGTCTGTTGCTTCGTTTGCTATTATTTCTCCCAATCTGAGGGCTGTCTTTTCACCTTGCTTATAGTTTCCTTTGTTGTGCAAAAGCTTTTAAGTTTCATTAGCTCCCATTTGTTTATTTTTGCTTTTATTTCCAATATTCTGGGAGGTAGGTCATAGAGGATCCTGCTGTGATTTATGTTGGAGAATGTTTTGCCTATGTTCTCCTCTAGGAGTTTTTTTTTTTTTTTTTTAGAATTCAAGAGATTTATATTTATTTATTAAGCAAATATTTAATTTAATAAACAAATTCATTTATATCAAACAAAAACAAATTCATACAACATCATGAGACAAATATTTATGGCAATTATAGGTCTGAAACAAGTCTCTCATTCAAAGATCAGTGCATCTAAACTATTTAACTCACTAAATTACTATCTTTGAACATCAAGAAACTAAACACAAGATATTTTAAAAAGGAAAATGATAAAGTAACTTTCCTCTCATTTAAAAAACCAGAGTTTTTCTCAAATGTCAAGTAGAAAGGTTAAATACAAATAAAACACCCTGCACATCTTAAACAAAGCTGAAAAAAATCTATACATACAGATCTAAACCTATACATATAGACCTAAAATAAATCCATGCAGATTTTTAAAAATTACAACTATTCTGTACCCTGCCCTCTCTATTAATGTGTAATTTCTAATCAACAAAACATGATAATGCTTTCAAGATATATAAAATAAAGCAAGATCATTTTTATCAGTAATTTCTCTAAAAGGAGAGGAAAAAAACAATTAAGATATAATTCAAGAGAGCAGCAAAACTATGAAGTGAAGAGTAATGATGCTGTCAAAGTAGAAATGTGTGACTTTTATTTACTTTTAAATAAAACTTTAAAATAACAGGTTGCCTATTAATCCAGACATCGGGGAAAGCAGAACAGTGGCGGAAATAAGAGCTGGGGCCAACTAAGCAGTCTTAGCTGCTAAGAAGATCATCCACCTTGTTTTCAGTTCCCTTTTATGCTTCTCACCAAGTACAAAGGTACAGAAAAACTATTCAATTCTAGTACAGCATCAGTAAAAACTATAATAATGTATCCCTTACTGTGTCCCACTAAAGTTTTACCTATAAAAATGGTAAGAAATTTAAGGGAAACTGTAATTCCACCTCAAATGATTTAAAGACAATCAGAATTTAAGCCAACTGTTTAACTGAAATAGTAATACTCCATTCTAAAAGAATGGTCTGTGACGGGAAAAAGCAGGCAGTTATTTGAAGTTACAAATAAATTCAATCTTTATACTCATGTAATCATCTTCAGTTATCTTTTTAAGTGTAGCAACATTTCCTCTTTAATCTTCTAAAATTCCATGCAAAAGATAAAGCCTCACTCATACCACACATGTGGAAACAAAGGCAGGAAAAAGACTAAATGACTTGTAAGTTATGTCATTACAAACTGGGAACAAAGTCTAACCTGCTACTCTACAAATGTGTTATAGACACCTTAATAAATATCAGTGAAGTGATTAAATATTAAACCTGATCTTAACTTCCACATCAATTAAGGTGGAAGGGCAAGCACCTGATCAAAACTATTTGCAATGAAACCTCATAATCCTTTTTTGACGGATCTCTTAAATTCCACTTTTAAATTTTTAATAGATAGACTAATTTACTTACACAGGACACATTACCATTTACTATGTAACATTAAAGTTTCCAGCTAAGAAACTGGTCATTGAGATGAGAAGCACCAGGAAAAAAAAAAATTCAAGCACCTCAGGATAAGAGAGGAAAGACAAAAGGAGGCTGGATCCTTTATGATGTAGCTTAACTACTGTAATGATTCTGGAACCACCTAACGCAAAACTCCTTCTTATAAGGGATACTTAAATGTCCTTGTTTCTTTAAACCCCCAAAAGAGGGGGGGGGAAGCTAGTTATAAACTTTCATATAGGATTCATTAAAAAAATTTTTTGGGGGGAGGAATAAAAGTAGTTTAAAACTTGGGTTTAGAAGAGAGACATATGAAAATGGACCCATGCAAATACACAAAGCTGAAGAAGGTGGAATCATTTGGCTGCGTGTAGTCTTCAGCAAGATCACAAAGTGCTCAAAAAGTCTTTTACTTTTTCAATTAGACTGTCATGTTTGTCTTTAAAGTCTTCATTAACATCCAGTGTTAAGATAGGCACTTCTTGTAGATAATCAAAGTTGGTTTTTAGTGTTCTATGCAGGAGCCAGCTTTCATGCTTATAGTGAAGTTTCTCCAAGTATTCAAGAGGAATGCCTTGTTCTTCATTTCTTCCCCGTAAATATATTCTATTCAAGCATTTCTCTGGAGTGGCTCGAAGATAAATGATCCCATCCAGTTCAAGGCTTTGGCCAAACTGGTTATTCATCCAAGTCGTGCCAGTCTTGATAAATGGTCCACTCTGTTTCATTCATGCAGTCAGATTCATACAAATTAGATGCAAAAATATACCTGTCACTATACACAGATCGTTCAAAAAATAATACTGGTTTCTCTGCATCTTTGAGTTTTCCATTGAGAGCGGCAAGCTGAGCTCGTATTCGACTGAGGCGGGCATATGACTGGAAGGTAAAAGACCATCGTTCAGGTTTCTCGTACATCATCTGAAGAACATTTCCGCCACTTTTCTGAGATGTTGTCAGTTCCTCAGATTCGTTCTGAGTACTCTGAACATTGCACCACCTGGCAACAGGTTCAGGAACCACCTCCCAGTCCTCACAGACTTGTTTAAGGATATTCACAAATGTTGACTTCCCAGCAGCAATGTTCCCTTCGATGGAAATTTTCTTAATGCGGGTCCCCTCAGAGCTGGCTGAGGGAGACGGGCAGCTCTTGGGTGGGGTGGCCATGCCTTCTCCTGTTGGCAACCCCGAGCGCTTCAGGCAGGGAGGGCTTGGAGGTGGCCGCAGGTGCGCGTGCCGGGGTTCACGCCGCGGCAGAACTTGCCTTGACCTGCAGGCTGAACTCTCTCCCGTCCCAGACTCTCCGGCCAGCGGATCGGCGGGTTTGATTTTGGCGCGCAGGCAGCAGCCGATGAGGGAGGGACCGCGGCACGGCCGCCCGCCCAGTGGGGAAGCCACGCCCCCGCCCTCCCCTAAATCTCGATTACACCCGGAGCCCCTCGGCCTGCACCCGCCATAGGAGGGACCTCCTCTAGGAGTTTTATAGTCTCTGGTCTTACATTTAGATCTTTAATCCATTTTGAGTTTATTTTTGTGTATGGTGTTAGAAAGTGTTCTAGTTTCATTCTTTTACAAGTGGTTGACCAGTTTTCCCAGCACCACTTGTTAAAGAGGTTGTCTTTTTCCCATTGTATATTCTTGCCTCCTTTGTTGAAGCTAAGGTGTCCATAGGTTCATGGATTTATCTCTGGGCTTTCTATTCTGTTCCATTGATCTATATTTCTGTCTTTGTGCCAGTACCATACTGTCTTGATGACTGTGGCTTTGTAGTATAGTCTGAAGTCAGGCAGGTTGATTCCTCCAGTTCCATTCTTCTTTCTCAAGATTACTTTGGCTATTCGAGGTTTTTTTTATTTCCATACAAATTGTGAAATTATTTGTTCTAGTTCTGTGAAGAATACCATTGGTAGCTTGATAGGGATTGCATTGAATCTATAGATTGCTTTGGGTAGTATACTCATTTTCACAATATTGATTCTTCCAATCCATGAACACGGTATATTTCTCCATCTGTTTGTGTCCTCTTTGATTTCTTTCATCAGTGTTTTATAGTTTTCTATGTATAGGTCTTTTGTTTCTTTAGGTAGATATACTCCTAAGTATTTTATTCTTTTTGTTGCAATGGTGAATGGTATTGTTTCCTTAATTTCTCTTTCTGTTTTCTCATTGTTAGTGTATAGGAATGCAAGGGATTTCTGACATTCACATAATTTTTATTACAGTATATTGCTATAATTATTCTAATTTATTGTCAGTTATTGTTGTTAGTCCCTCATTGTGCCTGATCTACAAATTTATAATTTAAACTTTATCATAGGTATAGGAAAAAAACAAAGTATATATAAGGTCAGTACTGTTCATGGTTTCAGTCATCCACTGGGGGTCTTGGAACGTATCCTCCGAGGATAAGGGGGACTACTATATTGTCTTCCCTTGTGGCTCAGGTGGTTAAGTGGCTGCCTACTATGCAGAAGACCTGGGTTCAAACCCTGCATCAGGAAGATCTCCTGGAGAAGGAAATGGCAACCCACTCCAGTATTCTTGCCTGGAAAATCCCATTGAGGGAGGAGCCTGGTAGGCTGCAGTCCATGGGTTCTCAAAGAGTCAGACACAACTGAGTGACTTCACTTTCACTTTCACTATACTGTTTGAAGAAGGAAATGGCAACCCTCTCTGGTAATCTTGCCTGGAAAATTCCATGGACAGAGGAGCCTGGTGGAATACAGTCCTTGGTGTCACAAAGAGTTTAACACAACTGAGTGACCAAACAACTATATTGTCAGATGGGGCGTTATCCGGCTTGAGCTGTATCAGCTCAGAGTAGTGGCAATCAGGCTGTCACAGCAGAATTAATGGTTGCCTAGGACAGTGACCCTAAAATTAGGATAACCTATGTATATGCAAATAACTTTGTAGGAGATACTGTTTATTTATTAAAACACTGTTTTAAGACAATGCATTTCCAGGTCTTTATTTCCAATTATATTCTTTCCTCAAAATGATCTGGCTAAGGACCCATGAAAGGGGCATTATGGAAGCAAGCCCCCCATTCTCCCTCTTGTTCTCCCCCTACTGTCCTTTTTCTGTGATTGCACACTTTCCCCTTATAAAAGAAAAACACGTCCAGAGGGGTACATACCTCAACGATATCAAACTAAAGAACATTTTGAAACAATGGTGTTTTGGGGGTAATGTCATATTCCACTCAGGTAGTTTTAGTATTCAACTTTCAACAAAATTGCAGAAAATCTAATCAATACATTAGCTGATGAATTATTAAAATTCCTTCACTGATGGACAACTCTATGATATTTGGCACTAAGTCAAGAGTAAGTCAAAGAACTGTGTTAGTGCTGTAAAATCACCTTCACATTTTTATCTACATGATTAAGTTTTTTTTAGTGTTTGCATCTATGAATATTTTAAAATGAAACAGAATTGATACTAAGCTCTATCTCATTTAGCACTAAGTAATATTCCCACAGGGATATGTGACAACGAAAATAAAGAAAGCCCATCCCTCTCACTGAGAACTACATTCCTAATATTTTACTTTTTGTCTTAATAATTCAGTTCAGTTCAGTCGCTCAGTTGTGTCCGACTCTTTGCAACTCCATGAATCGCTGCACACCAGGCCTCCCTGTCCATCACCAACTCCTGGAGTTTACGCAAACTCATGCCCATCGAGTTGGTGATGCCATCCAGCCATCTCATCCTCTGTCATCCCCTTTTTCCTCCTGCCCCCAATCCCTCCCAGCATCAGGTCTTTTCCAACGAGACAACTCTTTGCATGAGGTGGCCAAAGTATTGGAGTTTCAGCTTCAACATCAGTCCTTCCAATGAACAGCCAGGACTTAGCTCCTTCAGGATGGACTGGTTGGATCTCCTTGCAGTCCAAGCGACTCTCAAGAGTCTTCTCCAACACCACAGTTCAAAAGCATCAATTTTTCGGTGCTCAGCTTTCTTCACAGTCCAACTCTCACATCCATACATGACCACTGGAAAAACCATAGCCTTGACTAGATGGACCTTTGTTGGCAAAGTAATGTCAAAAACTCTTCTTTTTAATATGCTGTCTAGGTTGGTCATAACTTTCCTTCCAAGGAGTAAGTGTCTTTTAATTTCCAACATTTTAATATACTCTATATATTTTTTAAAAATTGTGTTAATAATAATTGTCATAACAACTCAATCTAAAGCCAAACATTTAAGACATAAAGCTTTGTGGGCATAGAAAAGTTGAAAACTTTTGTTTCACTTGTATTCATTCCAAAAATGTTTAGCCAGTGTCTACTTTGTGTCAGGCCCTATCTTAAGTGCTAGGAATTCAGAAGTGACCAAACTGAAAGGAAATGTCTATTCATATGGAACTTTGTATTTTAGTAGGTAGAGTTTGAAGGAAAACCAACAACAAGTGCATGTAAAATATAATGGCAGAGATACATATTTTTGTGCCAGAAGACTATGATAGGGTGTTTTAAGCATAAATATATTAGAGCAATATTCTGTAGGGAAAAACCAGGTTTAAGGAAAAAAAGGAATATTAGAGCGCTTGATTAAGCATTTTTTAAATAGATGATGGTAAGGATTCTATAGCTACAACCTTATATTCCACTGGACTATTAAAAAGTTATATGATAGAATTCTAAAATCTTATTTTATGACTTTTTTACAATACACTAGAAATCTCACTCTTCAGAAAGAATTTAAAATGTAGATGTCTTTAAAATCTATGAGAGAGCACATAGTTTTACAAAACCATGTGAGCAAATTTGAGGACACTGGATAGAACACACAAATTCTGAATCTTAGTGCCTAGAATCTGAATGGTATTAAATCTGATTAAGTTATATGATGAAATATCACTTAAGGACCTGAGTAGGAATTAAAGTTCAGTTCACTTCAGTCACTAAGTCATGTGCGACTCTTTGTGACCCCATGGACTGCAGCACACCAGGCTTCCCCATCCATCGCTAACTCCAGGAGTTTACTCAAGCTCATGTTCATCGAGTCAGTGATGCTATCCAACCATCCCGTCCTCTGTCGTCCCCTTCTCCTCCTGCCTTCAATATTTCCCAGCACTGGGGTCTTGTCAAATAAGTCAGCTCTTCGCATCAGGTGGCCAAAGTATCAGAGTTTCAGCTTCAACATCAGTCCTTCCAATGAACACCCAGGACTGATCTCCTTTCGGATGGACTGGTTGGATCTCCTCACAGTCTAAGGGACTCTCAAGAGTCTTCTCCAACACCACAGTTCAGAAGCATCAATTCTTCAGTGCTCAGCCTTCTTTATAGTCCAACTCTCACATCCATACATGACTACTGGAGAAACCATAGCCTTGACTAAACGGACCTTTGTTGGCAAAGTAATGTCTCAGCTTTTTAACATGCTTTCTAGGTTGATCATAGCTTTTCTTCCAAGGAGCAAGCATCTTTTAATTCCATGGCTGCAGCCACCATCTGCAGTAATTTTGGAGCCCAAAAAATTAAAGTCTGTCATGGTTTCCATTGATTCCCCATCTATTTGCCATGAAGTGATGGGACCGGAAGCCACAATCTTAGTTTCTGAATGTTGAGCTTTAAGCCAACTTTTTCACTCTCCTCTTTCACTCTCATCAAGAGGCTCTTTAGTTCTTCTTTGCTTTCTTCCATAAGAGTGGTATCATCTGCATATCTGAAGTTGTTGATATTTCTCCCGGCAATCTTGATTCCAGCTTGGGCTTCATCCAGCCCGGCATTTCTCATGATGTACTCTGCATATAAGTTAAATAAGCAGGGTGATAATATACAGCCTTGATGTACTCCTTCCCAATTTGGAACCAGTCTGTTGTTCCATGTCCAGCTCTAACTGTTGCTTCTTGACCTGCATACAGATTTCTCATGAGGCAGGTCAGGTGGTCTGGTATTCCCATCTCTTTAAGAATTTTCCATTTTTTTTGTGATCCAAATAGTCAAAGGCTTTGGCATAGTCAATAAAGTAGAAGTAGATTTTTTTCTGGAACTCTCTTGCTTTTTTGATGATCCAAGGATATTTGCAATTTAATCTCTGATTCCTCTTCCTTTTCTAAATTCAGCTTGAACATCTGGAAGTTCACGGTCCACGTACTGTTGAATCCTGACTTGGAGAATTTTGAGCATTACTTTGCTAGTGTATGAGATGAGTGCAAT